CATAAGTCATGACGGATCACGCACGCACAGACATCTTATAATTCATAATATAGACTAGATGGCATGTTTTGCGCTATAACTGTGCGTTTTGATAGATGCGTTTGAGGGGGCATTAGTTTGGGTGTGGGAACTTATGATTTTTATTTGTCTTATTTTGTCGGAGTTGGATATTTGTTTGAACGGCATGTTATGCTGGTGCTGGTTGCGGGTTGTTGGAGCCTTTCTCATGGTTTGCCTTATCGAACTCAAACCAACCCTACCCTACCCTAACCTACCCATACCCTACCTTACTAATAACCTACACATAGTTACCCTTCTCATACTCGATTAAAGTAACGTACCAAATTTGAGCGCAATCGGCCCAGCCGTTCTTGAGATATAAAACTGGCCCACTGCACGTGCGCACGTGCTAACTGAGACTCCAGATGACTTGTGCCAGCCACCTTTCTAAATTGTCCCCAACAGTGTACAAAATTTCAGCGAAATCGGCCCAGCCGTTCTTGAGATGTATAAGTGGACCCCTCACGTGCGCACGTGCAGTCGATCCACCCTACCTGTCACAAATGACCATGCATCGCCAGGTGATTGCCCCCTCCACCCACAGTCCAAGTTTCGGCGCAATCGGCCCAGTAGTAGCTGAGTTATTCCTAGTACAATAATGTGCTATTTATTGGTAGGCGCTTATTTTCAGTGTTTGGAATTCCCCTTTAAGGTCGCCGTCCACTGCACATTGGCATCCGCCGAAAGTAAGCGTGTAATCGTCGATAAGCGCGTAGTTCCGGCGTTTGCTAAAATGACGCCGTCCACTGCACAAAAACATCGGCAGAGATGCTCAAAGCAAGGCTCAAAGGACCCGCCCGCAGAGGCCGTATACAATAGAATGGAGAAACATAATTATTGGCTCGCCTGCCCGTCCAGTTACTTCGTACTAACAACGGTGACTATAAATAGTACTAACGAATAGTGTTTTAACCAAGGCTATAGAACTGGTTTTAACTATTGACAACAAACCTTCAGTTATAGGAGAATGGTTAGCCGTTTGTTTATATCGGTGACCTTGAAAGATGACGTCAGCGGGTGTCTACCAATCTTGCCAATATTTATCTTCGAGGATTATATCCCCTAAGGCAGTTTGATATTTAACTTTTGTGCTCCCTTAGAGCGCAAAAAAGATTATTTACTGCACAGCAATGTCTTAAAAATCGACAAAACCTTGACACCCCGTGACGTCATCTGTCTCCTGAGCCCTCCCTACGTGACCTGCCGGCTCTGATTTCGCTCTGTTTTGCCAGTGAAAAATCTGGGCCTAAGGCACGTGCTCCCTGCTCGGCACCGGCCGCAGCCCAAAATGTCGCAAAGATGCGCCCACCACGTGCAAACCGCTGAACGCACCCCTTCGAAAAGCTGATACGACAAATGGTTGCACGAGTCCGACTTGGTGCGAAAATTTCACCCCCGTAGCCCGCACCGTCACCGAGCAATAGCCCGCGAAAGGGAACTGAATCTTGCGCAGTCGGCGTCAACAGTGGCAGAAAAAGCTCCTACGATCCATCTTTTCCGCCACTAAATTAAGAGCGTAAAGTAAGCGATGAAAAGATAAACATGCCGAAATGCGTTGTCGGCGGCTGGGCCGTTTCGGCGTCTACAGATTCTGCTCCTACCATTGCCTCTGTAGTTAATTCTGCCAATAAGCGCTTATTTTCGGCGGATAAAAGTGCAGTGGACGGCGACCTTTACGGGTGGTGCATTGCAGCCCATGCTTTGATAGCTATTGTGAAAAGTAGAATGACCTGCCTGCCGAAGCCATCGATCGGATTTTGTCGAAAAATACCTGTAACGTTAACGAAACACGGTCGGGTGTTTGAGTCATTTTCACAAAAGTTTATTGACTTTTCGATAATATTTTTGATGGATATTGGTCAGAAAAGAATGCTCTTTCCGAATATGTAGGTTTCATAGCGATTGGTTAGCGTTTTCAATACGTTTTGATGTTGTAAAGGACGTCGCGCTCCGCGCGAATCAAATTTTCAAATTAATTTTTCATTATTAAGGAAATGCTACGGATCATCACTTTTTATCTGCTATCCTCTGGTAACATGTACATTTGTCTGTAAAATGGCACCACACCGATTTCATTCCGTCAAGCCGTTTTCCAGCGGCATCGATTTTTCCTTCGCAATGCACGAAATCGGTCATTTTTTCACAACCGGGGGTGCTGTCTTGCACGTGGCGCGTGTTGTACTATGAAACCATATCAATACGCTAGGCCCATCTCTCCTCTACCCATCAGTGGCAACCCCACCTCGCTACGGCAATCCGTCGCCGAGTTTTGGGCCCGGGAAGCGGGCGCCGCAGGCCGGTTTTCGCCCGATCGTCGATTTGACCGTTTCCTGTGTTAACCCTATGGCGCACGCGAGCGCGTGCTGACGGCGCACCCCTGGTCCGATCACGCCCAAATTTTAATACAAAGGCCGCCCACGCCCACAGATTCGACATGCCAAATTTCACGTCGCTACGCGGCGCCTTGCAGGCGCAATAAGACACATAAGTCATGACGGATCACGCACGCACAGACATCTTATAATTCATAATATAGATTGAGCGATCAGCGATTTGGACGTTCTGTGTAACGAGAGGGACGCTCCGTGTTCCGTTAGCTTTTGTTCCGTCCAGGGTCGCAGTCCACGCCCGTTCACAGTGACAAGCGGGCACAGGTGACACGCCCGTTCCGCCCTACACGGCAATGGATGAAAAGATGGAAATCACCGCTTTGTTGGTGACAGCTGGAACGGGAAACCGTACCTATTATTCAGCGGTGCATTATTTGAGAGCTCCCGACAGACTGACGAGTTTAGAAGTCACATGGTGTGGTTTGTACCGGCGGTTAGTTTCAATAGAGCTTATCCAATATAATTTTTTGGTCACTGCTGATTATTCATTTACTCCCCGTGCTTATATCCTTTACTGCCGACCACTCTACTATTTGCTTAATTTACTGCGTCACTGAATCACTACGTATTGCCTCGTCCTACCCCGACTTTGCTCGTCAAGTCCGGCAGCGATTCGGGGCACGGGAGCCACCGCACTATGCATTCGGTAGGATCCAAACACCTCAACACAATTCACACTCAACATAGAGTCGGTTTATCACCACTTAACCCGCGCCCCGTAGGGCTACCGGCGGACCCTACCACCCGTAGGGGAGGGGCCGTTTCGGCCCCCCCTAAGATCTCGGAAAGTTACCGGCCGATTTTCAAAATTCAAACGGCGTTCGATAGCCCCACCCGGTAACTACCTTGTGACCAAATTTCATTGACCTAGGTCAAACCGATGACGTCACAGGTCAGGTCAAAGGTCAGATTTTCACCGTTCACAGGCAATTCAAGAAATGTGCTGTGAAAGCGAGTAAATTGGTAATTTATTGAAAACCATCGATGGTACATTGTTCGTCAAACACATACTTTGCTATCTGAGGTCACTGATACCAGGTCAGGTCACAGCGAGGTCAGGTCACCGGGGGTCACAATATGAATGTGTCGTGTGATACATGTTTTATGGTCCATTTTACATGACAAATGCGATTATGTGGGCTAGGCAGCCTTTGGGGCCAGCCTAGGTCACGTTTTTGTGAAGGTCAGGTCAAGGTCAGGTCAAATTAGGTCAAATTTCAAAGTTGATATTTTTGCATAAAATGGGTATCGATTCGATGCAGCTCGTCACGGGGAGTCTAATGGTGGTCTTCGTTTTGCTCTACGAGTTCTAGAATTGCCAAAAATTGAGTTTGAAAATTTGACGTCATCATTTTTGAACAGTTTTTTCGCTATAACTTGGCCAAAAAACGAGGTATCGATCTGAAATTTGGTATGTAGATAGAAGACGGTAGGCACTATCACATATATTCCGGTTTTTTCGAAGCTCAAAAAATTTTTGGATTTTTTGGCGAATATATCCAAAAAAATGCTTTTTTGATTTTTGGGGGTCAAAACTCAAAAATTTCAAAAATTCGAGATAGCAGTTTTGTAGCCCTGTCAATTGTACACCTTTTATGTCCTGATCATTTTTCTGTATCTTCAAAGCTGTAGTCCTGACAGGTCTTCTCGCGAAGGTCTTTTTTCGGTCGAAAATGACAGAACATGACGTCACTCTGACGTCATTTGTGGCCAACCTATCATAGCCTCTGGAAAAATTTTTGGTCACAATATGTAAAATTGATGCCCGGAGGGGTCCTGAAAGTTTCGTGGCGATATCTCCAGCCGTTTAGGAGATATCGACCGAAAAGGACAGGGAGGGGCCGTTTCGGCCCCCCCCCCCTACGGGGCGCGGGTTAACGCACATTTATTCCTCATTCAACACAAAAACACAAGTCCAGAATGCATATGCGGCCATAGCCAAGAAGACACAAACCACTACATACTTTTCTGTGCATTGTACACTAACCAAAGACAACTCTTTGATGACGTCACAACGACCATTCCAGACGTCGGCTCACTCAAATTCTCAACAAAAACTGAACACCTTACTACACGGACACAATCTCAACGAGCACCAGGGACTTGAAATTGCATATCACTTACACAAATACATTCACCACACCCGTCGCTTCGGCGACACACTCAGACATTTTAATAGAACGACTAAAGCACAACATACTGACACACCACATCCACCCTCACCACCGGCTGACCGGGCTGGGGCCGTCCGGCGTCCAGGAGCCCTACTGGTCCAGGGGGTTGCTCGGCGGGCTGCTGGCGGCCGGCGGGGTCGGTACTGGCTGACCCCAGTTGCGCGATTATTGTCAGTTTCGTTTTGATTTTGGAGAGGCGCTTTAATTTAAGTTTATCTTTTGCGCCGATCCACCACTGAACTTGTTTATTGTTTTGTTTGTATCACTCAATAAAATGAACTGAGCTGAACTGGACTGAACTGAACTGCCGTGCTTATGCCTGGCCTGCAAAGTCATCATCAGTTTTCCACACCCTCTTTTTCCCCGGCTGCCACAGGTCAGGTTCAAACCGGCGTTTAACGTCGGCAAGATAGCGCGTCAGAACGCCTCCGGTACCGTCGAGGTGGACTGCTTCCCTTTGCACGCGCTGCTGTTGGCGCTGGACGTGAGGCGGGTCGACTACTTCAGCCTGGATGTCGAGGGAGCCGAGCTGGACGTGTTGAGGACGGTGCCTTTCGACCGTATCGACATACGGGTAGGTCGGCGGCTCGAATCACAAGTTTTGAAGAAAAAAAAATCACGATAAGCCTGGTCAAGTTTTTGTTTTGCTCATTTTGCAAAGATCCTGACCATATGAGAAAATTATTTTGACCAAAAGTTTGTCCTTAGACATCGCGTCTTGTAAGTTGCATTCGGTATCGTAAAATATTCGAACTGATGCATTTGTCAGCGTTTGAAATGCCATCCTATACTTCAGGAATAAATTACCTTTTTAATGCAGTTAACTATGATAAACTGATACCAAAAGGAATGAATAATACCGACGAGAGAAAAAAAGACAAATGATACCAACGAATAATATTATACTCTAATAAATACTATGACGTTCATTTATCCTTTTATATCGTTATTCCTATCGATCTTTCAATTTTGTGTCTATAAAAGACGCGTTTACACCTATTCTAACGTCCGTCTCCATCCTCAGACACTCTCGGTCGAGTTTGCGCACACATCTGGCGGTGGAAAGCCGGCCCTTCGTGCTTTCATGGAGTCCAAGGGCTACACCGTGATTCGTGAGGTAAAGCAAAAAGACTGGACGGCCAACGACTTCATCTTCGTCAAGAACGACACGTTTTCGGAGGAGGAGAGACAGCGACTGTCCGCGCCGTACCGTCGACACTGAGCTGATGTGATTAGATTCTCTGTGACGAAGGAATCTATGATAGGGAAGAAGGGGAAGGAGCTGTCGTCTGTGGTAGTCTGAGTTAAAAACGCGCCGGAGATTTCTGGTGACGATATTTCCCTGAGAAGACAGAAGGAAGGTGCGGGAAGACAGAATATCATGAAGATGAATTAATTCCTGATGTCCATCATAGGGAATCGGCATAAAAAGACGCGAAAGAATAGTTCTGACAGAGGCGGGACTGAAGGGGTCGTGGGATGACCCAGCGTGATATAAGGTGTAGCAAGCATCTGCGGAACGAGGCGGTGCTGGTGCATGGCGAAGCACCAGAACATGTCGGCGGCACTTAATGTGTCATAAAACTGGACCAGTGTCGGCGCATGGTGGATGCCCTATCGGCACACAGGATGAACAAACTTTCCAATCAAGTGGTGAGCTTGTTTAACCTTCGCCACGGTAGATAGGCTCGTCAGTGTTGTGGTTCGACAAAATAACTTGTGACAAAGTTGGCCACTATGGTCGCTGGATATCGGACATAGCCTATGCTCGAATTCCCTGATAAGCCTGTGATTAAAATGCTATTCCCGTTAGCTCAACATTTTAATTGCAGTCAACAGATATCCGGGCTGGCTCATAGCTCAGCATCTATCTCGGCTGGCTCTCTGTCATTCTAACACAATGAGCTGACAAACTATAAGCCGACGACAGGCAAGTCTTGAGCTAATATGCCGGGCTTAGCTCGTTGCTAGCTCAACTGTCCGTGACTTGAGGCATTGTCCACAGCATCTTATTAAAGCTCATCCACCATGATTGTGCCGTTTGTTGGAGCTTGTTATTGTTGTTGTGCTTTTCGTGATGTTAGAAGCGTTCTGGAAGCTCCGCTTTTAGCTCGCTGAATGCCGCTGTTGCTGTTCTAATTCGCTGACGTTGATTTGTGCCTGGATATATGGCGTTAGATTGTTTTATCACGGGACTGTGACTGCCTAGTTCGCATAGTTAAGACTTGTTCTGCTTGTTTCTTCGGCATATGACGTCTTCTGAGCATGGTTGGCCGGGAAGTGACGTCACGTGGGTCCCGTTGTTCGGGTTATGCCCTCAAGTTATCTTTCGAGTCAATGCGGTTATTTCGTGAATGTGATCGTATTATCCCATGAATGTGTCGATTCATTCCAAAACTAATATCGCAAGCATATTCTATTTATATAGATTATCGATCCCCTTTCGCCTGTGATACATCTGTAGCGAAACTAATGACGTTACGTCAGCTGGGTGTAACTTATTTGGCTAAACACAACCTAGCTGGTGAATTAGTTCACCTCGGAGCCACCAGGGGCACGGCCACAAGATGTCGCGACTCCTGCTGGATCTGAGTTTAGTAGCGGACCCCACCGCTAGGGGACTCACCGCGGTAACGCCTCGCGAGCCTGCAATCGACCCAGGGGTTCAGGGGTGGAGGAGGTCAGGTCAGCGGCCCATTCCAGTTGAAAATAGTTACTGCTGAGGCTGGTTCTGTTATGTTTGTGTGAGCTTTTCTATAGTGATCTGCGAAATGGCTCGCTCGCGTTCGTGTGTTTGTGTGTGCATAGAAGTGAAATGAAGATTATGTTTGACTTCTGTGGGTGATTTGGTGCACATAAAAATAAAAGAAAGTGATACGGTTACGTAGCCGGGGTCTTCTAATCATATAAACCATTCACTAAGCGCAGACAAGCACCTAAAGGGAAATTGAGATCCACTGATTCAGTAACATAAGACACTGGCCCTGACTGCTCGCTTTCATTCCTTCCAGCTCTCTTTTCTAATTTCTTACTTCTTAGGGCAACTGGTGGGTCCATGGGAAATATGTCCATAAGGGGCAAGTGTCTCTTCAGGAGTCAGTCCACATCATCTAAAATTTATGAATATTTTTCTATATGAAAAAAAAAAACAGAAAAAAGAAACAATCGATTTGGTAATTAAAAGTTTCTTATTTGCTGAGCAATGTACAAGGAGATTAAAAGTAAAAGTAAACACATTCAAACACCGTGAGTCGTGACACAGACCAAACATGACACACTGAACCGGAAAATTGCACCTGTCTGTGACCCCTTCTATGCCCCTGAACTCATCTCACGTCATGAACCATCTCCAACAGTTTTTTTTTTGCCGCAACTTTAGATAGAAACATGCTAGAGAGCTGATAACACCATGAACGTGTTCAGCTCAACAAACCAATCAAATGACATGCAACATGACCTTTTCCGTGACCTCCCAGTAAACATGCCGACGTCGGCCGACGTCGGGGTGACGTCGGCAACTCGGCATCGGCATGCCGACGTCGGCCCGACGTCGGTCCAACCTCGGCACGACGTCGGCTGGATGTCGGATATGCCCGCATGTTCCGACGTCCAGCCGAGGTCCAGCCGACGTCGGGCCGACGTCGGACCGAGATCAATTGCTGAGGTCCAGCCGACGTCGGACCGACGTCGGGGCGACGTCGGACCGACATCGGCCGCTGTTTTGACCGTTAAAATAATATAAAATACATGTTCCATGTTTCATAAAGAGCTTCTGTATTCAAAATATCCTCAGGAAACTCAAATCTTCCTCCACGCCGCAACCCCCTGATCCGGACTGGACGGGAAACTTTATCTCATTTGGGATTGCCCGTAAGCCGAGCTCGCCCGTAGCCAGGTGCGGTGAGTGCTTGGGGGCTGCTCGGCCTATCCTTTGGTCAGGCTCAGCCCCGGCAACTCACCAGGGCCGGGCCCAGTTAATATAGAAAGGCCAGTCGGCAAGTGTCACTTTGCCAAAGTGCCACTTATCAAAGGGACACTTTGGGAAACGTTGGTGCAGGTGTGTAAGAGTGGCTATATGAATCCATTGTGGGGTCGCCCTTTCCAATAAGTGTCACGTAACAGCAATGGGACCAGCGACTCATATGAACTGGGCCCAGGGTGCTCGCCAAGAAGACCAATGTCTCCATCCTATGATCCTTCCGGCTCTGAAATGGTCTTGTCAGACCGAAAGGGCATAAGACAACAAAACAAACCAGATTCGTTAGCTGGCTGAACGGGGTGCGTATTATTTAGGCCAGGGTTCATAATGTCCAGGGCATGATGTGTCCAGTGCTCGAAATGGCCAGTGCCTTGAATTGGCCAGTGTTCATATTGTCCAGGGATTACATGGTCCAAATGTGGCCAACTGGCTGCAGATAGGGTAAATTCAAAGAGACCAGGGTTCATAATGTCCAGGGCACGATGTGTCCAGTGCTCGAAATGGCCAGGGTTCATAATGTCCAGGGCACGATGTGTCCAGTGTTCGAAATGGCCAGGGTTCATAATGTCCAGGGCACGATATGTCCAGTGTTCAAAATGGCCAGTGCCTTGAATGGGCCAGAGTTCATAGTGTCCAGGGATTACATAGTCCACCCAACCCAACCAAACCTAACCTATCCTAACCTAACCTAACCTAACCTAACCTAACCTAACCTAACCTAACCTAACCTAACCTAACCTAACCTAACCTAACCTAAGGTAATGATGTTTGCCTACCGGGGATAAGGAAATAGTTTCTCGCATGAATAGATTGCAAGCAATAGTAAATCAAATATTTTTAGGTTAAGTGGTTATGCATCAGGCTTCAGGCCTTCGGCCTGAAGCCAGATACATAACCACTTAACCTAAAAATATTTGATTTACTATTGCCTGTAATCACTCCTAAGGCATTGCCTTCGGCACTGCACTGCTTCGCATTGAGCTGGTTCCGTGTTTTTTTACATGATGACGTCACTTTCAGTGACTATGTAATCCCTGGACACTATGAACTCTGGCCTATTCAAGGCACTGGCCATTTTGAACACTGGACACATCGTGCCCTGGTCATTATGAACTCTGGCCATTTTGAACACTGGACACATCGTGCCCTGGACATTATGAACCCTGGCCATTTCGAACACTGGACACATCGTGCCCTGGACATTATGAACCCTGGCCTCTTTGAATATACCCTATCTGCAGCCAGTTGGCGGCATTTGGACCATGCAATCCCTGGACATTATGAACTCTGGCCCATTTAAGGCACTGGCCATTTCGACACTGGGCATAACGTACCCTGGACATTATGAACCCTGGCCAGAATGAATGCTCCCCGCTGGCTGCGTGGTGTAGTGGTTAGCGCACTAACCTCGCGTTCGAATTACAGGGGGTTCGAATCCCATCGCCGGCTGATGCTTTTGGCGTGTTGTCCCAGTAAACATGCCGACGCCGGCGACTGGGGGGCTGGAATCCCGCCGCCGGTTGATATTTTTGGCGCGTTGTCCCAATAAGCATGCCGACGTCGGCCCCGTCGGTCCAACGACAAACGATCTCGTCAACCTCGGCAAACGATCTCGGCCCGACGTCGGCTCGACGTCGGCTGGACTTCGGCTGGACGTCGGAACATGCGGGCATATCCGACGTCCAGCCGATGTCGGGCCGAGGTTGAACCGACGTTGGGCCGACGTCGGGCCGAGCCTCGGCCCGACGTCGGGCCGACGTCGTCATGTTTACTGGGCTGGACCAGGAGTCAAATTTTCAAGTTGACCTTTTCAGGTCAACTTATAGTTCATTCGATGCGTCTCGACGAGACAAACGCGATGCCGGTAAAATCAGCGTCATACAAGTTTGGAGTCCCATAAGTTATGATACAAAAACCTTTTCCGCAAAAACGCCAGCCTGGAAGCTAAACCGTTGACCTTAGGTCAAATCTGAGAACATTAGGTACTCAGAAAGGCATTTGAAAAAGCTATCGAATGCGCTTTCCCGCAGCACTGCAGCTCTATTGGTTTCTGACGTATGAGCCGATTTGTGAAAAGTTGTCATAATTTAGAACACAAGTTCGTGAAAATTTTACATTTGGTGACCTCCAGTGACCTCAGCGATGACCTGATCAAAAATGGCATAGGTAATTCTGAAAGATACTGTAGCGAGCTATCTGTTGCTTTTTACCGCGTCTTTCAAGCTTGCTTACTTTCCGAGATATTATGGTGTGGCAACCCCCCCCCCCCACCATGGCGAAGTTGGCTGAGAGGCCCACCCTGGCGCTGGCTAAACAAAACATCCATAGTTTTGTCTTCCGTTGAGTCGTTGACTACATATTACTCTTCACGTCGATTTAGAGACAATAATTCGCTATTTAAGCAAATTGAGGAAGTCGTCGGGTTTACTGGGGACGGTCCCCAGTAACCCAAAAGCTACTGGGGACCGGTCCTCAGTGTCCCCACTGGTGGTTACGCGCCTGGCTGTAGACTCAATAATTAGGGGTCAATGAATCCAAATAGAAGGAACCAATATCGATCGCGAATGAAAAATGCGATTGAAACCAATGTCGTTTATCGTAACAAAAACGAAGATACACGAGTGATTTGGATGCTACCCCACGGTGCATTTTAGCTTCTATTTCAATTGCATCCATAAAACATGGTACTGCCAGTACAAGTGCTTACCAGCATGCCCTTCGACCTACCAAGTACGAGTACCTACTTACCCTACTTTACTGATGATTACCCTTCGATAGCCTGAAACCGCCACGTAGAAAGTCACACCGAGCTGCGCTGCTGTGCTGAAAAACAAATACAGGACCTGTCTGACAGGGCTGAGTAGTTCAGTCCAGACCAAAGTGACCACATCAGAGCCCTGCAAGCCGGGCAGCCGGCAGGGGCATGTAGAACACCTGAGAGAATGGCAGGGCACCGAATACGGCATCCTCCATAGATGGCGCACCAAGCGGTCCAGGCGACAATGTTGATGGCAGCGCCACCAGACATGTACATCAGTAGTTCGAAATATCGCCATCAGGGAGCGTTAGCAGTCAGGTCAGTTCACAAGTTGAAGTCTATTATCTACTCAGGCATTTACGCATTGTTAGGAAGCTGCATAACCACCGCATGCTATTTACGATGTAGCAAGTGCACTTTGACACTCAGTATTACGCCAGGTTGAAATTGCGATTGCAATTTCCATGCTTCGTCTGTCATCGAAGAGCCAGGGTGAACGCAATATTTGGGGTAGGTACCTACGGAAAAGAAGAAAACACACTTTATGCCTCATTCTGACGAAACAAATACGAAAGCGGTGCATCATTGTTGTGTGTGTATTTGTATTCTGTCGGTCGATTGCGATGAAAGAGATCAAGATCAAGATATACCGATAGAAACTTGTTGAAAACATCAAGCAGGTAGTCAATAAATCTCCCAAGGATACCTTGAAGAATTCGCACACCATAACGCAACTGCACGAAATTAATGCCAGGTAAGATAATCATGAATCCTGACCTGAACAAGGTTAGCTTGCTGGATCAGGATGAAATGTTCAACAGGATGAATATGCGTTGCTCGGGACTTTATCTAGTATTCCTCATTATATCATTCATCTTTTGAAAATGTTTATGTATAAAACATTGTCATACTGCAATGTTCAAATTAAGAAAACCAGGATCTACCTAATCATCCATAGACGATTACCTTGAGTCTTGGAAAACACTTGCAATGGGATGAATATCATTTTAAATAATGGTATCTGATAATGAACTTCAAGCCTATTAAAACTTACTAAAAGTTTGTATTTAGGCTTTTCACTTAAGAGCAACTTAGAACTTCCAAGTGTAGGTAGATATCTACTTCCCTGGCATATTGTGTAATCATTTTCATTCAGCTGTGAATTCTACATTCATTGGAATCAATCAATAATAGCCTACAATCAGTGGTGTCTAGCATTAAAAATCAGATAAAACAAGAATGACATTCAGTTCTGAATGACACCAATTTGTGTTACCTACCACCATCTTAGGGCGGGGCATGATGATCTGACTGAACACTGGCTTATGTGTTTGACCAATGACATTACACGTTCATTTGTTTCACCAGTGACGTCATCAGAGGCGGCCATGTCTGATGCCGGCGGCCGAGAGCGGCCCCTGTCGGCCGCCTTCGAAGAAGACGCCGCGTTCGCCGCCGAAATCTCTGCCGCCATGCGCGTGCCAAAACGCATCCACGTCACGGGCGAGGGTGACGACGACTTCACCTCCGGCGCACGAAACGGCGGCACGAACGGCTCGTCGGCGTCGGCGCTGGGCGCGCGCATGATGACCGTGCCCGACCGGATCGTCGTTCTCGGCGGAGAGCGTCACGGCGCCGGCGGCGGCCCTCCGCGCGAGCTGGTCCTGGAGCGCGCCTCCCAGCCGCCGGCCGGCCGCGACTGGGCCGTGGAGTCTCCGCCGCGTGTGCTGCGAGTCGACGAACATCTGCGACCTCCCGAAGAGCCTCCGACTCCAGTGGGAGACGATGAAGGAACCCCCGAACGGCGCGGCTTTGGCCGCGGTGCCGGAGATCGTAGTGTGGTTCTCCGTGATCAGTTCTCTCCGCCGGCCCCGCCGGGTTTTCTGAGCGCCTCGGAAGAGCTGGAGCTACTCCGACGTCAGCTCCTGAAGGTGAACCGGCGTCTGATGCAGATTGAGGTGGAGAACCAGCGACGTCGCTCACGGGAGGTGATGTTGTATACGGCCGGGGCTGCCTACTTCCTCATCAAGGTGATGCTCTGGATGGGAAGGATGTGACGTGAAGGACGTTAGACGGTGACGTGGTTGACGGTGAGGATATGTGAAGAGGCTGGACGGGCTGCTGTTTCAGTGGGGTACTGAATGAGAGCGTATCGAAATGGGTCTGAGTGAACGGCAGGGAGTGCCTGGTTGGGCGAACTTTGCCTGTCGAAGCGGTGAGAGCAGTATGTTGAGTGTGGTCATTACAGGCGTGGTATGAGTATGATGATTCTCAGAGGGGCGTAAGACTAAATGCAAAGAACCGTTCGCTGGTGAATCAAGCCCAGGCTCAAGGCGGCTGATTGACGAGGACATTCATTTTCGAGTGTTGACGCTTGCTGAGACGGGATTGGTTCAGCCATCCGGTATAGTCCACTGACCACTCTACGAGATGACCACTGACCAATAACCATGTAAGACTATCCGCTACCAGCACGGCTTCAACGAAACCCTGGGGCCGGTTTCAGTACCGTGTCTGCCTGCTCGCCTCCTTCCGACAACCGCTGTACTGGCGTCTGACCGGACCCTCGACAGGTAGCGGCCGCTGAGACTGCTGACATGTCTTTGAGCTAAACAGAAGCTGCTCCGCTGTGTTCGGTGCGCGTGTGGGTGCTTGGAAGTCACAAGATAACGTGTGTTGGTGTGTGTGTCTTGATGTCAGAGAGGGCTATTAACTGGTTTGAGTTGAGTCCGGCGTTGGAATTTTTGACGCCGTAGTGATATTTTGGGGGTTGTTGGTGATCTGCAACAGGGCTGCGGAGTCGATGGATTTTCGGCGACTCCGACTCCGACTCCGACTCCGGCTTTAAAAAACCAGCTCCGACTCCGACTCCGACCCCGGGCAGAATTGTCGACTCCGACCGACTCCAACTCCCGACTCCGACTCCGCAGACCTAGCAGGGCTGCGGAGTCGACATATTTTCGGTGACTCCGACTCTGACTCCGGCTAAAAAAAAATAAAATCGACTAAAATCGACTAAAATCGAAATCGACTCTAAAATCGACTCCGACTCCGACTCCGACTCCGGTCACAACTGTCGACTCCGACCGACTCCGACTCCGACTCCGCAGCCCTGGACTGATCAATGAGGCCATTTACTCGTAAGTCGTAAGTGTACAGTTTGTGAAGAACTACCGAGAGGAAAAGTGAGGCTAGGACTCAAATGAAATGTTTGGCCGTGTGGCGGTACATGGCTAGATACGCGATCACGCGGTGGGTGCCAGGAAGGGACGTGGGAGCGCCGTCAATCTTTCATTTTTAGTGTCAGGGCATTGAGGAGTGGCAACAACGAGTATGTAATTGATTCAATTTCGAGGGGGCGAACCTGAGAAGCATCATGATGAGGCTCATTTAAACGACAGAAAAGCGTGCAATGTTTTATTGATTCTCCGCTTATGAGGCTCGTTTGGTGCGGAGAAGTTTTCACATCTCTTTTCTTTCATTTAGCAAAACATGCTGCTCTCTGATAGAGGATTCAGTTACGACTTCGCACATAGGTACTTATTGTTTGGTCGCTTTTTTTGTAGCCTGTACTCTGTTTGGTAACGGTCCCTCCGCCGCGTTTTGTGTGATCTCCTCCAGTGGCGGACATATGATGCACTTTGTTTTGATTGAATGAACGCAGTGATGCGAATGTGTGCCCGTATACTGTCGTACCGTATACTGAATACATGTAACGAGGCTATCGAATATGGTGCCGATAATAGCTGTCAGTAGACATCATACGAACTATTGAAAACGGACAACGGTCAACGCCAAGCTCGTACTATGAGGAAGCAGATGATGTGCGTTTATTGATCAGCTACCTGCTCATAAACTGATAATGCACACATGTAATCAATGGAAATGATTGCGTGACACTTAGTGCGATATCCCGCAAATATCCCGCTCGTCTCCTCAGACATAATCACAGCCACAAACCTGTCATGCGCAATCAAATAAAAAAAAAACGCCCTTTGTGAGATGTGAGAAAGCAATACTGCTCAAGTGCTTACACCACAATGACTCGCATACAGATGCCATATCATAGCCGACCATCAAATGATCACAACAAAAACACATTACAAACGTTTGTAGAATGGCAGCTCACACAAAAAATGTGCATAGACCCAACTCCGAACCATTCTTCCCACCGACAAGCGAAATAAGGCATCAGCAGCATGTGACATTCCACTCATAGCTAAGACTGCCTCATATCTCGACAGTAGACATTGTTTTTTATGCAAACCCGTAGTGCATTCATCCCCTACAACCCGTTCATCCCTCCACGTCTTCCAGCGACGTATCCATCACTTCTTTGATCCTCGTCAAGAACGGTGACGACGGCGGATCGACGTTCTCATCTCCGCCACCACGCGGCGCCACCTCCGCGCGGTCCGGCCGCCGCTCCATCACACCGGGCGAGCTGGCGTCTCCGCCTCCTGATGTGCCGACAGATGTAGCCAATGACGTCATTGGAGATGCTGACGTCATTGGGGATCGAGGGATTCTCTCGTGGTCGGGTCCAGGCGCACTAGGAGAGGTTTCCTTGGCAGAGTGAGATGGTCTGGTCTGCTCCGTTTTGGAACTCTCACTGGCGTTGAAGACCACAGGACCTTCTCCTGTGCTTCTGTCCTCTCGGGCGGGGGTGAGGGCGGGGGTGGCGCCATCCCCGCCTCCGTACCGAGACGGGGAGTCCTCCACAGTCTCCTCCACGGCTACCAGACGTTGCTGCGACAGCGGCGGTGCGGACGGGGCTCTCCTGTTGAGGAGGGCTCTGGTACCACCCGCCATAGCGCCTCCAGCCATCAGTGCCCCGGCCGACACGGACCTCACCAGCCCCCGACCGGTCCAGGCCAGCCATCCGACCCGCTCGGGACCGGCGCGCTGCACCAGGGTCCTTCGGCGTGACTCGGCGCCCACCGGCTGCACCTCTCCACGAGCCGTCACCACGAGGTACACCCTCTCCTGTCCCGGCTCGACCGTCACATGCAGCGCCTCGGAGTCATCTCGACTGACTGAGCTTGGTGGTCGACAGCGACAACCGATCACGACCAGCGCGAGAAAGAACCCCAAACTGATTATCGTCAGCGGTATCATCCATATAGTAGGCACTTCAGCGCCGAGAGCCACATAGAATCTTCCCAGCGCCCGGCCACACTGCTCGGCAGGATGTAGCACCATCTTGGTCAATGTCTCCGCCAGAGCCATACCGGGCGATACTTCCGAGAACGGATCCACGTGCAGGCGCATGTAGTAATGGCGGCACTTGTCCTCCGTTTTGACGAAGCTGACTAGCCCACGGACGTAGTGTAGAAGCCCGTCCGTCCAGCCCCTGTCACCTTTCTCACATCCCTCCGGAGGGTTTAGTTGAAGATGTCTTTCAGCGAGTGCCCTCACATACAGATGATTCCAATGCCAGAAGAAACTCGCCACTAGCACTAGCACTAGCATTCTGCTCAGCACGTACGTCCAGGACTTCCCGAACAGCAGTGCCACGAGCAGCCAGCTACCCAGGAGGGTGGTCAGTAGCAGAGGAATCAGCTCAGTAGAGACATCTGGTATCAGCTGACGGAGCTGACGCAGCCAGCGCGGCTGGCCTTCAGTCAGCAGGGACTCGAACTCGGAGTCGGCAAATATGTCCTCCAGAATGGCGTCGGTCTCGACGAGAGAGATGTGGTCGGAGCCAGCCAGGAACTGACGCAATCGGAGCACCTGCGAGAGAGAGACGGGTCAGAAAACGAAATGGCTCGATAACAACCAGCATCATTCGGTTCAGCTGCCCTATATAGATCCTTCGCGCTATAAGCATTTCGTTCGCAGTAAAGCCAGCAAAAGAACCAGCGAGGTGCATGAATCATGATCCTTCGAAGAAACAAACGTAACAGCTGAGGCCTCTCAAATGTAACAATTTGCGTGCAAAATTTAGCAAGCACATGTAGGATTATGTATTGGGCTATTGCAAACAAATTTACCACCGTTAGATTAGCTTATTCTGAAACCGGTTTTTCGATTTTACCTAGCTAGGTAGTTTGGTGCAAGAGGCCTCTGATGAAGAAACTACGATCTAGAGTACATTCTAACCAGAACGCACCGCGGGCCTCCGTGGCGCAATTGGTTAGCGCGTTCGGCTGTTAACCGAAAGGTTGGTGGTTCGAGCCCACCCGGGGGCGGCCCACGTTTTGACCACACCGAAACGGGAATATGACATCATCCAAACATAATAGATTACAGCCCGTACTCAAGATTAATGAGGCATATTGCGACACTCATTATTCGTTATCACAACATCCATCACTCACATTTCCAGCAAAAACCACGGGGTTGCTTACACGCCAAGACAGATTCATTCATTCATTCATTCATTCATTCATTCATTCATTCATTCATTCATTCATTCATTCATTCATTCATTCATTCATTCATTCATTCATTCATTCATTCATTCATTCATTCATTCATTCATTCATTCATTCATTCATTCATTCATTGTCTGTCCCCGATTTCCACAGGCCCCTCTTCTGCCAACCATTCCCACCTGCACTTCAGAGATGCGGCCTCTCAGCTGAAACGTCTCGCGTTCGGCCGGCTGGACGTCCTCATGTATCCGGAGTAGCTTCAGCGTCCTCTTCACGTGCCGCTGCATGAACGCAGAGTTCAGCTGGTGTCTGCTGGGCGGCCTGGAAGGACCGGCGGCGGCTGGCGAGGGTGTGGGGGCTGGAGCGGTGGTAGAGGAAGAAACTCTTGCAGGACACCGAGACCTCGTCGCCCAGCGCGCGCGCAGCGGTCCCAGGGCATCGAGTAGACGGTGACAGCGGTCGGCCTCTGCGCAGCAGTCTTTACCGCCCTCCGGGGTCAGCTCGAACTCGAACATGGCGAACGGATCGCCGGCGCGGCAGTGATGTGCCAGCACCAGCAGCAGCAGCGGGAGACACAGAGCCAGAGTGGTGATGCTGCGCAGTAGCCATGACATGGCTGCCACACTGGTGCAGGGCTAGCAAATGGAAAAGAGGGGAAAGAGACAAGTGTCAAAAACTGTGAGAAAATGGGTGCATGGGGAAGTCTGTACATTGTTCTCTAGAACTCGCCCTACCACGCGAGTTCTGGGACATGTCCACCTCGATGTTTACCAGCAAGGTCTTAGAACTCTTATCTTCGGTGACATGAGCTGACACGTCGCTGTAACCGCTTTTAGCTTCTGCATCGTGTGTGTAGTGTGGTTTATGTGTGTTCACTTTTTATCCTCATCATTGCATTTCTTAGCGTGTGTTGACTCTGACTCGAGAATAGCCCTGTGATTCCGATCTCATGAAGGGATGAGTCTATGACGTAAATACAATACAATACAATACAATTGTTGACTAAATGCTGACAAACTTGATGGTTGATGCTATGATATCAGATAATGATAAATACCAGGAAAATTACTCCCAGAATGTTCCTTTTGCAGTTTTTATTTTTTGTTTGGAACACATGGAAAGGAGGCTGTACAGCCAACAATTAAATTAAGGCCACACCTCTGCTGTCCGATTTCCAAAGGCAAAAATGATTGCTTGGGTGACCGCCAACCCGAGGTACCATGACCCTAGATGCTAGATCTGCCGTGCAAAGGCAAAAAGGATTAGGTACATCAGGGCCTGATGTACCTAATCCTTTTTGCCTTTGCACGCCAGATCTACCATCTACGGATGCATGTAAATGTCCTGTCCTGTATGGTAAAAAATCATGTGACAAATTTGAGTCTGCACTTTTTAATCAGCACATTGACATCGCAAGTGAAAAGTTCCCATTTTGGTTTTCAAATGCACAGAATGAGCCACATCATGAGCCTATAAAAAATATTAAAATTGTATTCATCTTCACAACTAAGGCTCCAAACTGAGTATTAATGACACTTTTGACATTCAGCATTACCCCATACTGATACCATAGATAACCCTAAACCCAATGCCATGCTTCAAATTATTGAAACTGAAACCAACCCAGATTAGCATCTATAAAAGTAGGCCCACAGTTGGCATTTACAATAGTCAATACCTATAGTATCAATATGTCAACAGTGAACAGAATACCTACCTACTTTTATATTAAATGCTCAATGATATCTCTTACAACAATGCCACGACAATTACTGAGACAACATCGCGACAACTGACGCACAAACTACAAAACATTTACTATCCCGCGCATCGCAAAGCCATCTATAGAAGGTGCAGTCACTCCCCCGCCGACCAATCAGAGACAGATCCTGAGTGACGTCACGCAAAAAATCGTAATCGTAAGTCGTAAGTATCGTAAGCATCGTAACCGTTACCAAGAACGACAGCAGCGACACCTATATCATATTTTTGAGACTGCGCACGTTTCGCCTGACCACTTCTTTTCCGATGAAAGAGCTTTGCTGGTAGGGTGCATTTTCTTGCATTTCCTGCATTTCACGGCAATTGAGAGGTAGGAACCAATTTTTGCTTGAATTGAAACATGTTTATAGTGAATTTAGTGATGAATGTCCTCGTACAATCGTAATGTGCAGTGTGCACGACTGTTGTAATTTCTCTATGCTCTATAGTGATGAAATTCCTGTCATTTCCGTGGGAACCCGTGGAAACCGAAGAGAGAAACAGTGAACTGAGTTGATTTTTTATGAAATATGTCGAAAATAATGACCAGTTTTCTACCATTCCGTTGGTATGTGTAAGATAACAGACTGTGGTAAGCATGCTTTGCGATCATACTTCAACTTGCGAGTTACAATTTACACTTTCCTTTCCATATATAGTATATGTCTATGTTCCGTGTGTTTGGGCTAAATTTTGATACAACCAATCAGGTTGGTGGTTCATGGCCACCGCGCTGCAGTGCACTGTGCGCAACGGCATATTGGTGCGGCATTTGATACAAATTCGGCTCAACGCTTCAGAGTTGTGACTAGGGAATGTCTGAGTTTGCTGATGTTTCCAAGGTGATGTTTCCATGAAACCCAATCCCTACACTGCTGCGTGCTGGAGCATAGTGCCTTGGAACGGGGCCCCGTGATATAGATTCCAGAACAAATTTTTTGTCTGGACAGATCAGCTCATCAGGATCATAGTTTTGTCTGAATTTTTGTCTTTTCAGTTTGAATGGACGTGGTCTACTAAGGTGTTACTGGAAAAATCCAAGGTACACTGAACATGTTGGCTGTAGTGGTGGCATTGCGCCAAAAATTTCAGTGCATGTCCGGCGCTACTTCACATGTGCTGTCAGCATATGTCAGCACCTGGAGGCCACCAATGTTTGGGTACACTGGTCAGTCTAGCAGCAGATTGACATTTATGCGTCTTCAGAAGTCTCACAATTAACTATGTGAACAGAATCGCTCGCTACATCACAGGGCATGCACAGTCGCAGGTTTCTCGGGCCTTGTTACCCTATCACACTTCTCGAGCCCTCGTAACACCACTGAAGTTATACAATTCCAAATGCCAGTTGCCTCACTTGGTTTTAATCAACTCCAACATAAATTCAGAGGTAAGAAGCCTGAAGATCAGCCCTGTCCGCATCTTAGTTCCAATAGTCCAAGGGCTATCACAAATGTCACGGGGCTTGGGGCCGGATGGCCTCGGACGAACAGTACCTGCCCGTTTTCGACCCTGATTTATTGTTCAAATGTAGAGTGTAGCTAGCGAGTGAAGGATGCTAAGGTTAGTTCTCGTCGTCTTGTGCCGAAATTCCTTAAATCGTCCATTTGCCTCAAAGTTTCTTCGTCCATCCGTGCGCCGAAATTTCGGCGTACGGAGTTCCACCTAGGTATGCGAAAACGCGGAAATCACACGTACGAACCCGTGCCGGTGCCTATAACCGTAGCTTGAGCAATTTATTCCAAATATATATTACAAATACGTGACGCAACACGGTAGTCGGTAACATATTACCGCTAACAGCCCTCACGATTGGGAATAAGGTGGGGACTGGGCTGGTTGATCTTCAGAGTTTGGGCTCCCAATTGCTGGAGTTTTTTTTCTGCAGTGGACCATATGCAAGTGCAAGGCGACTGGCCTTGTTAACTCTTCAGTGGGGCTTCACAGGGCTAGAGGAGACATTGGATTATTAAGCCCAAGGGATCTGCTAATGCTGCATAATGAAGCATGCGATAGGACCACGCACTGAGGTAGTTTTTTTCCGCTGAGGCGTCTAAAGAGAACCACCAAAGTTTTGCATGCAGTACAGAGTGGCTTGCTCATCTGTTATTGGTCCTGGGGTTATGTCGAGCGATATTGCCACTGGCGATGTGTCAAGGAACTGAACGCGACAACGCAGCATTGCTATTAAAAAAGTTGCTGCAGAAGGCCGCGGCAAAAGTTGACGCATGTAAGCACCATATCTTAATCCATTCACCGACCTTGTGCCCTCTCTGTGATTTCGTTGACTGAATGTGCGTAAACAGCAGTGTAGCTTAGGTACCTACCCGGTGTATTTCCAATTGATTGAACTTGGTTTGCCGTACCAATTTCACGCAAAATCTGACGCAGGACCGTAATATTCACGATTAATTTCCTGGATCATCACAAGTAGCAGAACAATTTGGACACCTCTGACTTTGCACATGACACTTTTCCTGTTGGTTACCCTGCCCACATCAGAAGTTCGTCCATGATCAAAGGAAGGATTTATCTGGTGCAGAAGGCTGCTTGTCGATCTGTCGAGTGGTTGCCGAGATATAAGGCTGTGTAAAGCCTCTTGGGGTGTGTTCTGCCGCTAATTCTCTGATATTTGTAAATACAAAATTATCCTATCATCTACTGACAACTAATCTTATATTTTTCATTACGTCCAGCCACCCCGTTTTTATTGCCATATTGGGTTTTTACTTTTTAGTTATCATATAACTTGAATTCTACTCGTGTATTATAAACATGCATTGCTAACAAGTAATCCATGTTATAAATATGGCTGTAGAATTGGCGTAGACGGCTGGATCTTATTTCTTACCACCCCCACCCCGGCACCCCATCTTACCTCGGTCCCCTCCCCTCTCCTTGCAGTGCCTCGCGATTGGTGACCCGACACCATGGACGAATCCGTTCTGGACACCTCGGCCATGGACACCTCCACGATGTCCAGTGGCGGTCTGGGCGAGCCGGCGCCGGAGCTGGAGGGGTACGCGGACGTGGCCAGTCTGGAGGAGGGTCAGCAGGTGATGCTGCAGCTGCCGGCCGGCGGGAGGACCGGTACCGAGTCGGTCATCATGCAGGTGGTCAGGGTGGACGGCAACCAGATCCACTTCATCACGCCCGGTGAGTTAGACACTCGATCACGCTAGGTGAGTTAGAGACATTTCGTGCGGCAGCTGAGTTGGACACACTTTCACACTGTGTGAAAACCAGAGCACCTATTTGTTGCTGTTTTAATTATCAACACCATTGCTGACGTTTCTGGGATTATCATTGTTCAGCCGCTTAGACCACGCCATTAGCTCAGGATGATAAACCAGAGGTTCATTTTATCAGCAGAAAAAATCACGATTGGGGTTTTACTTCTTTAAGCAGCCTACAAGTAGTAAATGTGTACATCAGTGATTTGAATGATCCTCCATTGTGTGACCAGTGACCGTGATTCCCATTTTACAGACACTGGGGCTCATGACCCGGATGAAACCGATGTCAAGGTCAAAGACTCGAGTGAAATGCTTCAACTGTCCGAAGACACTGAGTTTGAGAACCCCGGCGCTGGGAGCACCCAGTTTGAGGGCCCCAGTGCAGCTGAGAATGCCGAGTTTGATGACTCCGACGTCAAGGATTTGGATATAGTGAGTACTTGTGTAAGATTACTGTTTTGTTGTTTTTTACTTATCCAAGTCTTAAGGGCAATGTTGTTCTAACAAACTTTCTTTGATAATGTTCTTCTTGCTTACCGCCCTGCTTTCTTGTCGTTTGATTTATTCTTGAGCAAATATGTTTTATCATCGACTCCTCATAGGTTTCTTTCTTTCTGTCAGAAAGGAAACCTATGAGGAGTTCCCACCTTCCCTATGAGTCCCTCCCCTCCCTCCCCCTCCCCTCTCTTCTTCGTTTCTCCCTTTCTTTCCCGGTTCCCCTCCCTTCTTTTTGTCCCTCACCCCTTCCCGCATTCGCCCACTGATTCACTCACTCACTCACTCATTCATTCACTGACTCACTCACTCACTCACTCACTCACTCACTCACTCACTCACTCACTCATTTTTTCCCGTGTCTCTCTCTCTCTCAGACGGAGACGCCGCGCTGTTACCTGTGTCTGCGCCCGTCCGCCGGCCTCTACCTCCTGGTACTGGAGAGGACCTCTGCCACGGCCTGCTCGCTGGCAGAGAGACTCAGTGGCTGTGCGTCCAATGTGAAACTGAATGTCAGCACCTCAGACGGCGTGTGTGCAGACTGCCTGGAGCTGATTAATACGGCGGATCAGCACTTTCAGCAGTATCAGGTGAGGGAAGGGGAACCACAGCAGTACCAGGCGTGGAAAGGGGGGGGGGGGACTGATGGCTATAGAACCGTTAGTAGTTGGCTTGATTTTCTGCATTGAATTCGTCTTTCAATGGGAATGCCGTCGACGAGCTTGGTAAATAGAACCTTATCCAGAATTGGAGGATCAAAAGCATGCGATAGCATGCTTTTGCATCCGGAAATTCCCATTGGTGGGTCGCTGAAAAAAGTTCGGCGGAACCTGTTTGTCAGTGAGTATGTGAGTATGTGAGTTTGTCCAAGCTTTTTTGGACCTGGAGTCAAAATGGGTGGACCGATCGGGACGAAAGTGGGACCGTTTGATTCGTCTCCGGCGAGGTAAACTTTTGGTGCTGGCCTCGATTCGCTCGGTGCTTCGTGGCACATGCTATTCCGCTTCAAAGTTTCGGTGACACGAAATTTTTTGTCAAGGCTACAGGTCAACCCGAGGTCACGGGCAAAGCCATACTGGCGGGACACATCGGTAACACCTTGAACCAGTTTCCAGGGGGGTCACCGTCTGCGAGGGGTGCAGGCTGCACGTGCTGGGGTCGGAAAACCGTTTTGACGTGAGGTCCTCTGGCTCAAAGAAATTTTAAGCTATCAACCTCAAAATCGGTTCAATGGTAGTCCCAGGCAAGGCCTCCAAAATAATGCACATTTCATTGGGCTATGGATCCTCCAATTCTGGCCCAAGGCAACGCACGAGCGCTGCCGGCATCTAGTATAACCGTATACCTTCCTCCCGTTTGTCTGCAGCATATCAGAGACAAGATAGAGGAGCTGCTCCGAGCGGGGAGCCGCCAGCGGGCGGGCCCCGAGGCGGATTCAGATGGAGAAGGAGCTGAGCAACGGGAAGGAGGTACGTAAAATGG